TTGTTTTTTTTTTTTCTTCCGTTACTCTACCTGGTGATTCTGCTAGAAACACACTTTCTGTGGTGGGAAAGAAAGCACACTCACTCACTGTCCTATATCTATGGAGGAGCAGGGTTGTAACCCTAGGACAGGAAGTGTATGAGGACTTCAGAACACACCCACCTTCCCTCTTCCCCACAACTAAAAGTAGGAGAAGTTTTGTAGTTCACAAAGCTTGTGACTCACTGATAACAGTATGGCACAAGCAGATTGCATAGAAAGTTATCAGCTCACTAGATTTCTTGCAGCATCAACTAGTATTTTTTGCACTTATCAAACAGATATAACAAATTGCTTCCAATAGTATGGGTATGTTTTACAGTAAATGTTTATTTTTGTTTTGGATAGAGTAGGCATGTATCAGAACCCCAGTGAAGTTTTTATTTCTGTGTCTCTACTGGGGAGATTTGATCTCTTTGTGTCATGGTGACCATTGTCACAGGAAGTGAAGGGTTATCCCCCCAATGGAACACAGATGATAATAAAATAAACAAACAGTGGTTTCAACCTTTCCCTACATTATACAAAACTGAGAAATCATTCATTCTTGGGGTTTACGTACAAGTATACGTTTGTTATCTACATTATATCTCTACATATGTTCCTTAATGTGTTTTTGGTCTTCTTGATGGCAATGTCTTCTACATCTTGTAAAAAGATTGTATTGTGTAATGCCAGTTTAGATGATTTAACCAGTGTGCTTTATCATAACCATACTACCACTGCCGGTTACATTATATAGACATGTAACAAGAAAGGCAGGTGGACATTACTTTGGAGGTTTATCTTTGGAGTATTTAGATACAACAGTTCAACATTTTTGAAAGTAACATGTATTTTCTCTTTCCTCAAGATTTTGGAATTGCCCATCACAGAGCGGGATGTGGAACGTGAGCATCTGATCCAGCTAAAGAAGTGGAAGGAAGAATTTGGAGAGCTGCAGTACAAATCCCCTTCCCGTATGCATGGGGCCAAAGCCATCAGTGATGCCGACCCACTAGGCCATAAGCCTCTGGTGCACTCCCCTTCCATCATCCTCCCATCCAGTGTAAGCGGAGGGAAGAAGTCCAAAGAGCAGAAGCAGGAAGAGAAGGAACAGGAAAAGCAGAGAAGTAAGGAGATGAAGGAGAGGGAGAAGATGGAAAAAGGGATAAAGAAAGTCGAGAAGAGAAAGAGTAGAGGTAAAGCTGACCAGTCCAATGGGGCTGTGAAAGAAGAGAATGGAACCGAGGGGAACAGAGATCACCGGCAGGAACCGGTACAGCCTCTCTTGGCCAAAGTAACCCAAAATGACTCTTTAAATGTGCATCAGTCCAGTGAGAGTTTGTGCTCCAAAGAAAGTGAGGACACCTATTTATAACTTCCACAGTTACACCACATGATGAAATGGTCAGACCGATCATAACCATCAGTGTGCTTGTGGAGTCTCTCAGCCTCTGTATTGGACATTCTTCAGCAACAAAGAGAAATCAGATTCGAATAAACAGCGAAACTACAGGAAATGGACTAATTCAGTTTAAAAAAGTTCATCTACAGGATTTGTCCTGGATTCATGGAATATATGTGTGTTTCCATAAGTAATTGTTACTCCAGAGATTACAAGACCCTCATTATGTATTGTACCAAGGTTTTTCACGTCTCTTTTGCTGTGGATAACAATGGGGATCAAATAGCTACAAACTACCATCCAGGCTGCAAGAGATCCTTTCTGTATTGTCACTAACGTCAGTGTAATGGGTGCAGGCCATGCACACAGTGCTCTATTCCATTCCAGATGTTTTGCTAAGAGCAGAATTTTCTACTATGCACAACGAGTTTATTGTTTCCTATATACATGGGACCAAGCAGAGAAATAGAACAGACAATCTCTTCCGCCATCCCACAGATACTCTTTGTACCACTAAATGGATTAGAGGAGTCTAAATTGTGCTTCATATCTCGGCACAATGGAGTGTCTGTTGAATTCTCTCGTACTCTTATTAGATGCTGTACAAGAAGAGGAAATCCGAGTTTTGATGCGGGTCTCTACAGGAGACTCCGGGGGATGAACTGTATGCTGTTACCTGACCAAACTACACTATTCCTCCCTCCTCCTGACACTACAGGGAAGGGCTTGTATTCCACAGTGTGTCGTTATACAGTTACACTAAACACAGCCAAGCAGGAATATTTATTTATCTATGGTATTAGCTGTTGCAAAAAGAAATAAACAAAAATAAAGACACTTGCCAATATTTAGATTACAATAAAGTTACATGATGTGTCATTCTTTTCTCAATACCTATGAGTTAATTTCAAGGTAAGTAATTCATATTTTGTGCACTAGATATCCTAAATCAGGTGGCTTATTCAAGTTGGACATCGATATTTAAAGTGACACTAAACTCAGGAGTTAAATCTTAGAAATGCATTCATGTACCCCAACTATTAACAAAAATGTATCTTATTTGTGTATCACTCGGCTGTAGATCCTCCAAGCTCACTCCCATGATGGACTACAATCTCCTGTTTAGACCCCCGGCTTCCTGATTAGCTGAGAAGCTAGCTCCTTGGTGATGAGAGAGCATGGAGCCAGCTTCTTGGCCAATCAGGAAGCCGGGCAGCATGTAATGACTCGCCGCCCCACTTCCTGATAATGAAAGTTCCGGGAACCGGATAGCCATCGGGAGCATTTGGGCAAGTACTTGTACTCTCTGAAATACTCACAGTTCTATTCACAGAAGGGTGCAGGGTTTGGAGAAGGCAGGAGAAGTGAACAATCTAGGACAACATAGCTGAACTGGAAAGTGAGCGGAATTGGAGAATTTTTCCACATCAGCTATTTTGTCCTAGATTGTTCACTTCTCCTGCCTTCTCCAAACTCTTCACCCTTCTGTGAATAACCTTGTCAGTATTGGCCTCGATACTAGTATCGGTGCAAAAAGGTATACTATTGGTATGCTTCTTCATGAATACATCAAGTGTGTAAGTGGGGAAAGTAGCTCATGTTTAAAGTAGAAGTCCAGGCAAACACTTATTGAGAACAGTGGGTAGTGACTGATGTTTCAGGTCTAATTTTTGGGGCTGTATGTGATTGCCTGCCTGGCATGCTTGTTGCAAACCAATAACTGAATCCTATCACTTTCAAATAATCGGATTTGTATCCCTGGCCTAAGTTTAATGACATAAACAATCATTTTATAGATCATCATGGTTCACATAGATTGGTGATCTGTGTGTTTTTTTATTGTTAAGGGCTGGTCCACCTAAAACTGATATTTCTGTTTTTGGTAGATGCTAAAGAGTTAAATCAGCTCACAGTGGTTGATTTACTAAAGCAATAAAGGCTGTTCACCTAGCAAAGTGAATGTTCATTTTTTAACATGTGTTAGAGTTTCCCTTGTACAGGCTTTGGTATTTAAAGTCAGTACAGCATCACCTTTTTCACCAATATTCACTTTGCAAGGTGAACAACAGCTGTACCTTTTAGTATATCAACCCTACAGTTTCCAATATCTCTAATGGACCCTGTTGGCTAGATAAGTACCCTTTTGTGTTATTTATTTTATATTATGGAGAATGCAACAGGAGGAGCAAAACCATGCTAATCTGACACTTATTTACACAGCCAGTGCCAGGGTTTCCAGTTTGCTGATCACAGCCAACACCAGTTGCCAAAGGATCATTGAGAGAGCATGGGGATGTGGGAGGTGTCACTGTCTGTCACTCCACTGTAAAAATCAGCCAGGACACTGGCCAGTAATCACAAGAACTCCAAAGTTAGTACGAACATACTTTCCTGCAATACCTCTGCCTTTTCCTGGAGGGAGACTTATCCAAAGTTAGTTGGCTGGACTCAACGCAGGCACATCCAAATCTCACATACAATCTTGTTCAAGCCAATGGTTGTGTATAATTAATAATTTCCCTACACCTCTGAGATTCCCAAAGCTATCTGGTGAGGCAGAATCTTAAGGAGTCACCTCTCCCACTGCCCACATGCACAGACACACAGATCCCAGGTTGAGAATGAGATTTGTCACTGCCTATGATGACTTCCACATTCTGCTACTAATCTGTATGCAATCAGATTGGCCCTCTTGTTCTCTGTCAGCCAAGCGCTGCAATACAGGGAACATGAGGGAGCAGCCACATGATGCAGTCTTGCACAGGTCAGTGATGACGTACACCCAAGCTTATAGGCACTGATGATAGAACTACAGGCAGTCCCCAGGTTACAAACAAGATAGGTTCTGTAGGTCTGTTTGTAAGTTGAATTTGTATGCAAGTTGGAACAGGTACATTTAAGGGCAACTCCAGCCCCACTCCAGGAATGCATTCAGATTTTTTTTTTTTTTTATAATTCTTCCTCCATACAGAAACATTGCACACATTCTGCAAACAATATAAATCTAGGCTCTCATTGTGCAGAGCTAATAACAGGTTTGATCTCATATGCATGGATTCCATAACTTTTCCCATTTAGTCAACATTTATAACAATAACAACAGTAATGGGATACAATAGGTTTTGGACCCTAGCATAAATAGGTGTTATGTGCCTCTATCCCTGTGTCGCCCCATGCATGGTTGTGGCTCGGGTGTCCACGCCCATCTCCACCCGAGTATTGTAACGGGGATCCGATCTATCGAGTAGTGAGCGGTTTCGACAGGCAACTGATACCATGTGAGGCTGACAGGGGCTTCCGTAATTAGTATTCCTACAACAACTGGACAGAAGGCACCTACTATGCTCTGTTGGTCAGGATAACATAAACACATGAGACAAACGGGGTATTGGTGGACATTTAGGTAGAAGTAGAAATGCAGAAGAAGGCAGCGGGTGAAAGAAAGAGTGGACCCTCTCCCATTGGGTTATCTGTCTCCAAGCACTCAAGACCCCTGAGGGTCAGTTGATGGGTCCTGCTCAATGTGCAACTGGTATTCCGGGGTGAAGAAGAACTCCGTCCAAGGAGACCATAACTTGCAGAATGTGTCATGTGTCTCCCTGGATGACGCAATCTGATCCTCGATTCTCCAGATCTCGTTGACCTTCCCTAACCACATGCTCACCGTAGGGGGTCTGGTGCTCCGCCAGAGTATCGGAATACAGGCTTTTGCCGCATTAAGTGTGGCACTACTGATCTCAGGTACACCCTTTTCGGTATCGCATTGTGATGCAGGAGGAAGAACGCTGGGGTCATTGGGATATCTCGGTCAGTGAATGTGGGTAGCAGCGACTTGACCCCCCCCCAAAAACCCTGGATTCCTGGGCATGTCCAACAAATATGGCGCATGGTACCTCCAGTCTGGCCGCAGCGCCAGCACTCAGGCGTCCGTTCCGGCATAATTCTGTGAAGGGTAGCAGGGGTCCTATACCAGCGTGTAAGAATTTTATAATTGCACTCCTGGATTCTGGTGCATCTAGTGGTTTTATGGGCCAGGTATACCATTTTTTCCCTTTGGTCTGGCGTGAAGGATAGCTCCAGTTCACTTTCCCATTTGTCTAAGTAAGGTGGGGCGCTACCCCCCAGGTGGGGGTCCAAGAGGGAGTATACCAGAGATACTGCGTGTCGGAGTGGCGGGCCGGGTTCGCACTCTCAAAGTCCGTCAGGGGCCGAGCAAAGGTCCTGGCAGGTGGCAATGACCGAAGGAAGTGGGCTAGCTGCACCCTTTGCCAGAAGTTTAGAGGGGACCACTGGGGTTCCACCGATAGGTCACCCAGTGTTATCCATGCCTCGTCCCTCATGAAGTGCCGAGCTTCGCGAATGCCCGCCTCCTGTAATTTTCGAAAACCCAGGGTCTCCCACTCCAGGGGTAAAACTAGGGTTGCCCAGAATGGGAAGTAAGGGTGAGGGAGAGGGGAATATGCCCTCCACAGGGAAGAGCCTGCGACATGCTGCCCAAGATGCACCTATGGTGTGATGATTTTTCACTGAGGTCGGGATATCACTATTGCACCAGGGCAGGGATGACGGGGAATCCAGTAACTGATTGTTCGAGTCCAATCCATTGTTTTAGAGGGCCATGATGGCACCAATCTATCACCCTCGTGAGATGGCACGCAGCGTGGTATCTAGTCACATCGGGAAGGCTAATCCCTCCGTGTAGTTTATGCGTCCGCAGGATCGACGATTTGATCCTAGGTGTCTTGTGAGCCCACAGGAATTTCCCAAAGGCACTGTTAACTGCCATGAGAAAGAACTGTGGTATCTGAATAGGTAGAGTTTGTAAAAGGTAGAGAATGCGTGGCATAACATTCATCTTCAGAATGTTGCATCTACCAAACCACGAAAATTTACCTTCGTGCCATCTCGAGGGGTCTGATCGAATGTCTTTGAGCAGTGGAGGGAAGTTAAGGCGGAAAGTGTGGGAAAGGTCTGCAGGGATATTAGTGCCCAAGTATCTCAGTGATTCCGTAGTCCGCCGAAATGGGAAGGCAGCCCGCAGGCCCGGTAGGAGGAAGCCAGGGATGGATACATTGAGGGCTGTGGATTTCTGAAAATTAATGAGGAATAATGATAGCGCCCCATATTTCTCAAATTCCTGCATGAGGGTCGGTAGGGATATAGTAGGGTTCGTGAGGAAGAACAACAGGTCGTCGGCGAATGCCGATACCTTGTGTCTACCCCCTCCCCCCAGGTCCACCCCCGCAATGTTATTGTTAGTTCTGACTCTGCGGAGGAAGGGCTCCAGGGTGAGAATGAAGATTAACGGTGACAGCGGGCAGCCTTGCCGCGTGCCATTCGATATTACAGAGGTTCTGGATAGCGCTCCATTGATCCGGACCTGAGCCGTCGGTCTGGAGTAGATCGCCATGATCCATGTCATCATCACCTCACCCAGGCCCAACGCCCGGAGCGTCAGTTCCATGAACTGCCAATCTACACGGTCAAAAGCTTTTTCCGCATCGGTGGACAGAAGCAGAAGGGGGTGTTTCCGGGCGGAGGACTCATGGATGGCATCCAACACCCGTGTTACATTATCCCGTGCTTTCCTAGATGGCATGAAGCCGACCTGGTCTAGATGAATAATGTCTTGCTAATAGGGGATTAAGCGGGATGTCAGTATTTTCGCGAAAAGTTTTAGGTCAGAGTTGAGCAGTGAGATGGGCCTATAATTTGCGCAGAGAAGAGGGTCCTTCTCTGGTTTTGGGATGACGATGACGTGCTCACAGAGAATCCATGGGAAACGGCACGCACCTGCCCACCACATTGTTGCCTTTCAA